TACTTCCATAGAGATACCACCTCGGAAACCCAAGGAGGGGTCGCTATGAGTCGGATCCAATTCCACAGCAATGAGTTGAGTTTTTTTTTTTTTTTTGAGGTTTTTACATATATAATTGCCTGTACATCCACTATCATTGAGGGTTATGAAAGAAAGTGGTAAGAGTGGTGGCCTTTAGGAAGGGAATAGGGGTGAGAAGGAGATTTAATTTTCACTCCAGACATGGGTACTGCTTTTATTTTTCACCCAAGTGTTTTGATTATCTATTCCACAATTAAACAGCTCACTAATTAATTTTTAAATCAATGAGATAATCCAAATAACAGCATCAAACTGTGGTGTCCAGAAGAAGGAGAGGTGTGTGTGTACTTTGCCGGGAGAGAAAATAGCAGTCCCTCAGGTGTGGGGCTGTGGATCCTGAGGTCCCTCTGAAAGTGGGTGTATGAGGAGGAGAGCCTAGCTTGGCCTCAGCACCAGAGCCTTCCAGGTCATCCAAGACTAGGGACACATTGCCCAACTCTGCAAGGACAGAGGGCCTGCAGTGTTCCATGAGGTCCCATAAGCTCAGACCTTGCCCCTTTGCTCCACTCCAGGCACACCAGCCCAGGCAGCTCCTTGAATGCACCAGGTCTGCATTCACCTTCAGGGCTGTCGTTCCAGCTATTCCCTCTGCCTGGAATATCTCACCCAGATAGCCATTCTCACCTTCAAGCCATTGCTCTGAGTTCGTTTTCCCACGGAGGCCTATTTTGACCACTGTAGTTAAAACTCAAGTGTCTCCTGGTTTCTGGAGTCTGCTGAAAATCTTTGGCATTTGTTTGCTTATAGATGGGTCCTCACAGGGTGTGTCTCTTGCCCCATGTGTACACCTCTGTATCTATTCTGAGTTTTTTATAATTCAGAAGGGATTAGGTTTAGGACTCTCCCTACTCTGGTATGACATCAGGAAAAAAAAAAAAAACCTGTTATTTCCAAACAGGGTCACATCCACAGGTACAGGAGGCCAAGACATCAACACATATTTTAGGCGGACACAAGTTAACCATAACAGCCTCTAATGATCCCTGCCTCTTGTTATTCATACATGCACTGAGGCTTCTTTAATCAAAATGTTAGGTTTTTTTCCTTACCTGCTCCCCATTTTTAGTACAGCACCTTAACCTGCCCACCACTGTGTCTGGTATCTCATTGTCTCTGGTTGCATTTCTCCAGAGTTCTAACTGACCACCCAAAAAAACCTCACACCTCTGCCTGCCCATGTTTCGCTCTCTCCAAGTATCTCCTGCAGAGTCAGAAGGGATTTCTTCTCCTAGATTGGGGATGGGTCTAATTGCTCAGTTTAAGACTTTCAATCAATTCTCCTGTTTGCAGTTCCGCCCCAAACTTTACTTTCTAGTAAATTCTCAGCATGATCAACAGCTTGCTACTTTTTAGCTCTGGTGGCGTAGTGCCTAAGGCATCTGACTGCTAACCAGAAGGCTGGCGGTTCGAACCCACCAGCCACTCCTCGGAAGGAA